ATACAAACTAGAGAGAGTGAGTACCCAAGGGAAGCTCCTGGGAAGGAGGGAGAAGGGCAGCTGAGGAGCAGGAGGAGCTAGAACAGGTGGGCATCTGTCCAACCAAATACAGTCATTCTGGGGTACAGTGCTGAGTCCCTGCTCTGCCCTGGAGAATCTCTTCAGGTCTGGAGGCAGGAGAGCTGGCAGGCACTGGACTGCCCTGTGCCTGTACTTGCCCACAGCCAGAGGCTGCTTGGAGGATCCTACACAGCTCTCCCCATTTGCAGTCTCCTCAGGAATGCAAGGTGCTCAAGAAGCCTTCGAGTTTCCCGTAGCATTCATAGATACCCAGCATTTTATTTTATTTTATTTTATTTTTATTTTTATTATTTTTTTTGGGACGGAGTTTCGCTCTTGTTACCCAGGCTGGAGTGCAATGGCGCGATCTCGGCTCACCGCAACCTCCGCCTCCTGGGTTCAGGCAATTCTCCTGCCTCAGCCTCCTGAGTAGCTGGGATTACAGGCACGCGCCACCATGCCCAGCTAATTTTTTGTAGTTTTAGTAGAGACGGGGTTTCACCGTGTTGACCAGGATGGTCTCGATCTCTTGACCTCGTGATCCACCCGCCTCGGCCTCCCAAAGTGCTGGGATTACAGGCGTGAGCCACCGCGCCCGGCAATACCCAGCATTTTAATATAGCCCCCTAGGGGCCCAGTGCTCACCATTCACCACCTCACCTAGGGCAGCCAAGAGCTCTTCATTCCCCTCTGTTTCCCCAATCTGGTGACAGGTGGATGGAGGAGGCTAACACTGCACATTTTCTATAGATGTGCCTGGGCATCTCCTCATCGGTTACCTCTGTTTTATACATAATAGTCATTTGATGAGGGAATTAGAATTGGCACTCATTTTGACATAGTAACTCTAGGGAAAGCATCTCAACCATTCCTCGTTCCTATCTCCCAGCTTACCTAAGAAGAATGTAACAAACTCAAACAACTTGCCTTTTTCAATTTGCCCTAAAGTACCCAGAAGGGCAGCAACCTAGCAGGCCAGGCAATAGCAAGACAGAGAGTGGGACCTATATTCCAGTATCCCCCAGTGTCCGTCAGGCCCATCAGCTTTTCCCCGAGGTTCTCCATGAATATCCCCAACCCACAGTATTGGCCAAACAGCAAGAATCTTGGATCTGCTTATTCTTCAACAGCCCACCGGGATCCGAGGATGGACGGCCTCCACACCCACCTCTCAAAAGGTCCAGATCTGCCTCTTGCAAGTCACGGACTTTCCAGTCCCGGCCGCCTCCTAGGGGTAGCAGCTGGTCCGTGGATCCAGTGGGAGGGTCCGGGTTGCTGGTTCCAGCAGCCAGCCCTCTCCGAAGCCGCTCCAGGCTCTCGCCAGTCACCAGCGCCGAGAGAACTGCAGGCGAGGGGCCAGGCCGCATCAGACACCCGCCCAGACCCCCGACTAACACGCAGCGATGCCCACGCCCCTCGGCCAGAGCGCAAGGGCCCCACCAAGTGGCCCGTGCCGGGGGCGCTGCGGCGACCTTCCCTGGTGCCCCCAGCACAGCGCCCCCATCCCCCCGATCTCCGGGGGCGTCAGCAGCCCTCTTACCTGCAGCCAGAAAGAGCTTCAGCACCACCGACGGCGGCAGCTTCATGGTCCCGCACCGAGTGGAGGCGGCGAGGCACCAATCACTTTGGAGGCGGCGGCCACTGGGCGCTGGCACCCGAGCTGGGCGGCGGAGCTCAGGAGATTCCGCCGGGCACCGTCCGCCGCCCGCCTCTGCGTGCACGCCTGGCCGCGACCCGCGCGCAGCACGCTCTCGTTTCGTGTCTGTCTTGCTCACTCTGCCCGCCCGCGCGTTCGCCCGACCCCGCGCGCCTAGGTCAGGCCGGCTAGAAGCGCGGACACCGTAGTTCCTTCGGCGAAATGAGCGCTGCCCGGCGCGCGGCCGGGAATAAGGCTCCCGGAGGCGCCGAAGCTCCGCCCCGCCCGGCGCCGCCCCCTCCCTCCTCCCGTGCTGGGAAGCTCGCCAGGCTCGCGGCGCCGGCAGCTCAGCCCCCGACCCCGCCGCGGCTGGGGACCGGGCGGGAGGAGGGGGCGGTGCTCACATTTTTTGGGACCAGGCCGAGGCAGCCGCGGCCTGACTGTGGGTAGGGCTTCTGACTGGCAGGTGGCTGGGAGCGGTTCCTACCTTTCCCCAAACGCCTGTCGCGCTGCAGCCTTGTGACTGCAAGCTGAGTTCTGTCTGGGGCCTGGCATCTTGGGTCGTCTCAGCTCTCTACCAGGGGTCTCCATCCCTGTCACCCTCTAAGTTTTAGAAGCCCACCTTTTGGCCTACCAATACAGCAAGTATCAAATAATAATTCATTTATCATTTAAGAATTAGACACATGAATGCCAGCAGTTCTCATGAACCCGAGATAACCAGAGTTGAAGTTGCAGACACTTGGTATCAATCCAGCAAAAGCAAAGGAAGTTAGTACTCTCCCAGACGCTAGAGTGGCTTCCTCCCATCTTTCCCCCAGGGGACATTAGGATTTTTGAAGTATGGATTATAATTCCCAGGCTTCTGAGACTGGAGAGACACAGGTTGTGAAACAAGCCTTATTCTTTTCCTTGCCTTTGACTGCCACCTTTTTCCTCAACATTAACAATGAGCCTCCCTCCCATAGGACCCAGCTGGCTACCCTAGATTGCTGTTTCACAGGCACCAGGTGTTTCTCTTCCAGCCCATGTGCTTTTACAGGGGTCTTCTGGAGTCACTGTCCTGACCCAAAGAAATGAGTCTCTCAGTATGTATTTCAGTTTCCAGGGACGTGCTGGGGAGAGACTTGTCTGACACAGGGCTGGGTTGGCTTTCAGAGCCCTCAAATGGTGCCAGATAGAGCACTTGCCTGATTCTGCCTGTGTGTAGGGATAAAAACAGGCCTGCTATTTATACACAGTCTATCCCACTGTCCCTAGCCCCACCTTTGCAGGGGTCAATCTGGCCCTGCCCTCTTAACTTGCCCCAGCAACCCAGGCCTAGGTTTCCACAGTGCACTGGAATCACTACAGATCTGAGTTTGAATCCTGCCTTTGCTACTTACTGTGTGACCTTGGATAAGAAAATTTCACTGAGCCTCAGTTTTGACATCTCTCAAATGGAAAAAATAATAATAACTACTTTGTTGGGAGCTTTTTGAGAAATGAATGTGGGAACACATAAAAGTAGTATAGTGCCAGGCACACTATAAGCTCTCAATAAATGTGACCCATTATTATTGTTGCTGTTAATAATAATCACTAGGCGCTTGACCATTCTATTTCCTTAGAGGCCTCTTTTCTCTCCCTTCCCCAGATCCCTTACCTTCCCCCAGGCCAGGTCTGAGGCTCCATGGTATAGTTGGGCTGGTTTCAGATGGAAACTCACCTGTCACCTATTTGGCTAAGAGCCACTGTTAGATTATCCTTTTGGGTGATCAATATCGGGCCTAGGACCTCAGTGCATGGTCACCACCCAGGCCATGACTTTGCCCCCCCTCAGCAGCTGCCTAGACACCTGCTTCCCCAAAACAAAGCCACTTTGGGGTCAAGGCTCTCCCCAGGGAAGGGTGGAGAGAAACACTTCCTGACACATGGTCATATCACCCCCTTTCCCCCACCCTCGCCAGATTCACACCCTGCTCTCCTGTCCCAGCCTGCCTGTCTCCCTTTGAATGCTCTGTCCTTCCGCCTTCTCACCCCCACATCAGCCTCAGACCCATTCATGGGGTAACTCCTAACTTTCATCACACCTGGAGCCTCACCCCAGCTAGGTTTGTGTGTCAGCCAGGTTTTATGGGAAGGGCCTGAAAAAAAAAAAAAGATAAAAAGCTTGAATTGAATTTGGGACAGTCACTTCCCCTCTCAGAACCTTGGATGTCTCTGAGCAAAGAAAAGGAATCACAATTCATGCTAAGGCAACCTCATTAACAAAGTTATTCCATGAACATTAACTGAATATTTTTGGGGGGCACTGGAGACATAAAATAAATATGACAGCCCAGGACCTGCTTTCACAGAGCTTATATTCTATAGTAGACAGACAGCACATTAAGGAAATAAACAAGGAAAAACAAATCCTATAGTGATAACTGCTAAGATGGAAGTTAAAATACTTGATGATGTGCTGTAGGATGATATGTTCCAGTGCCCAGGATGACACTTTAGATTCGATGACTGATTAGCAAAGCCTTCTCTGAGCAGGTGACATGTAAGCTGAAACCTGAATAAGAAGAAACCAGACTTGGGATTATCCATGACAAAAGCATTCCAAGCCGTGCAAATAGTGCAAAGTCTCTGAAGTGGAAAAAAGCTTGCAGCATTCAAAGAACAGCAAGAAGGCCAAGAAAGGAGAGATATGGGATGATATTGGAACAAAGGCTAGCAACAGATAAAAGAGAATATTATAGACACTAGACTTTATTCCCCATTATTGCGAGAATCTAATGAGATGTCAATGAGCAAGCACTGTCATGTAGGATTCCTCCATATCACCCCCTCCTCCTGCTCAGGTCTTCCCCACCTGCTCTCTGGATGTCAGGTTGTCAAGTGCCAGGAACACAGTCCTAAGAAAGCAGAGTTCAGACGGACAAGCCTGCTTTTATTGACTGTCTATTGACCATGAGCAAACTGAGGCTTGGAGACTGATTAGCCCTGGGCCACCGGTGAGTCAGAAGGGGACAAGTGCAGAGCAGAAACCCTGGCATCCTGCTTCCCAGCCCATGTGGGGTTCCTGGGCTCTGGAAAGGTAGGCTCCATGGGACTCAGTGCTGCTGACTCATTGCTAGGGCCAGAGTTCTTGATCTGGAGACAGCACTTGCTCACCAGTAGGGAGGACCTGGAAGAAAAGGGTGTTAATGGGGACAAGAAAGGAGAGAAGGAGACTTGAAGAGAACCAACCAGAGTTCCTTCTCCACGGTGGCTGAGATGTCTATACAAGTAGATTGGTTCCCCCAAACCTGAAAATTATTATCATTACCTTTTTTGAGACAGGGTCTCGCTCTGTTACCAAGGCTGGAGAGCAGTGGTGTGATCTTAACTCACTGCAGCCTTGAACTCCTGGGCTCAAGTGATCCTCCCACCTCAGCCTCCCAGAGTGCTGGGCTTATAGGCATGTGCCATAGTGCTCATCCATGGGAATTTATTAAAAATAAAGAGCCCTAGGCTCTACCCTAGTCCTCCTAAATAAAGATCTCCTGGGGTGGGGCCCGAATATGTGTACTTTAGGCTGGTAATTCTGACATCAGCCATATTCAGAAGCACTGGTGTACATGATTAATCAGGATAACACACCAAACATCTGAAAAAAATCTGAACCTCCAAGGCAGAGGAGCTTTCAGTAATGACAGTTCTCTGGTGCTCAACACTGCACATATATTATCTTGTTTGATCCTTACAACATTCCTAAAACTGGACACTGTTATCATCATTTGCATTTTAAAGGATTGAAGTGCTGGGCACGGTGGCTCATGCCTGTAATCCCAGCACTTTGGGAGGCCAAAGTGGGCGGATCACCTGAGGTTGGGAGTTCGAGATCAGCCTGACCAACATGGAGAAACCCCAACTCTACTAAAAATACAAAAAAAAAAAAAAAAAAAATTAGCCAGGCATGGTGGTGCATGCCTGTAATCCCAGCTACTCCAGAGGCTGAGGCAGGAGAATCGCTTGGACCTGGGAGGTGGAGGCTGCAGTGGGCCCAGATAGCGCCATTGCTCTCCAGCCTGGGTAACAAGAGTGAAACTCCATCTCAAAAAAAAAAAAAAAAAAAAGAGATTGAAGCTTAAAAAGGTAACATCCCAAGGTCACCCAGCTAGTGAGTGTCTCGGCCTCAATTTGAAACCTCCTAGTTCACTTGGGCTTGTGCTCTCCTAAGCTCAACACTCAAATGCATGAGATGACAGCTGCCCTCTCTATGCTTCCGCATGTTATGCTCAGTAACATTATCAGTTTTACTGAGGTTCAGTCCTTCGTCTGTCCTGAGGGATAACGATAAGAATCTCTGCCTCACTAGGCTGGAAGGAGAATTAGGTAAGGATAGCAGGGCAGCTAGTGAAATGGTTACACTCTTGGGAGTCAGATACTTGGGGGATCAAATTTTGGCTCTTTTTTTTTCCTTTCTAACTTTGAACATGTTATTCAATTTCTCTTTCCTATAGTTTGCTCATCTGAAAAATGGGAATCATAATAGTAGTTATTATTATAGGGGTCTTGTGATGATTCAATCCGATCATGTGTGTAAAGCAGAATATAATGCCTGGCACATAGTAGGTACTTAATCAATGACAGCTGTTATTATGACCAAATTATTTCCTTTGCTTTCTTTCCTTTTTCTTTTTAAGTGGGAATTTGAAGAAAATGTTGCTTTATCATGAGCTAGCCATCCTCAGAGCTGAAGTGGTCCCTTCTGGGAGCTGGCCATGCTTATTGAAGAGATGTCAGATCTGCAAGGCCCCCCAGAGTTTTGGAAACCTCAACCCAAAAAAGCAACTCAGGTTCAGAGCTCAAAGGGAAGTATTTTCCCACTGAGGGAGAGAATTCAGGTGCCTGCTCATTCCCCTCTGACCAGAAGTGAGTCCTGCACAGCCCCTGAACTCTGCTGGGTTGGGGAGAAGGGTAAAGAAGGGCACCTCCATTGAGGGTAGATCTGACCATGAGCCCAGAGTTACCCAAACTTCGAAAGTCAGGATGAGGGGTCCTTGCTCCTTGCCCCAGGCTAGCTTCTTTCACCCCATCTGAGACAGTTAATCAAGCAGTTTGGGGCATACAACTGGATTAGATTAGAACTCAGGCATGCCTTTTGGAGTCCCTGTGTACCTCCTTATGCTGGCAGGGCACCTGGAAGTAGCGTGCTTCTTATGCACCTTATGCACACTCAGGGATGGACAGGCTCTGCTGTCTGATTGTTTGGGGCTAGGATACATTTGAATAGGATGGATAGGAATGGATGAGACAGGGAGAGGCTTTTGGAGGTGAGGGGGTTTCAGGAATCCCTGTCATCTCCAGAAGATGTTGAGGAAGGAATATTTATAATGTGCTGGATCCCAAACCATCCTTCTCTATTTTTGGGCCCATTTTTGTGACTCTGAATGATTAACATCTCCAGACCCAGGACTTTGCACCTATAGCCATCCCCTAACACAGATGGCTGTCTGCCAGCACAGAGAGGAAGTGATTCCTCCCTCAGTACACAACCCACCTCTCTCTTCAAGCCTCAGATTCCTCATGTGAAAAATGAGAGCTTGAAACAATTACCCTGCATTCAGGCACTGGTCAGTGATGTCCATCATGAATTGTTTGCTGAAAGACTTGAGGAGGCTGAGCACAGTGGCTCACGCCTGTAATCCCAGCACTTTGGGAGGCTGAGGTGGGCGAATCACCTCAGGTCAGGGGTTCCAGATCAGCTTGGCCAACATGGCAAAACCCCATCTCTATGAAAAATACAAAAATTAGCCAAGTGTGGTGGCGGGCGCCTGTTATTCCAGCTACTCAGGAGAATGAGGCAGGAGAATCACGAACCTGGGAGGCGGAGGTTGCGGTGGGCCAAGATGGCAGCACTGCACTCCAGCCTGGGAGACAGAGTGAGGCTCTGTCTCAAAAAAAAAAAAAAACTTGGGCAGAAAATTCTATAACATTCAACAGTGCCTGACTTACAAGGCGTGATGAACTTTCTCTCTGTGTCTCAGCTTCTTCATCTATAAGTGGGGAGAAGAACAATTTACTTAGGAGGTTCCTGTGACAACTGAAGGAGATAGCATCTCTGAAGTGCTTGGCAAAATGAAAAGCCCAATATAAATAGGTCAGAACTCCTGTTAACTTTTCTGGTGCTTAACCTTGGAATGTGGTCACATCGCATTCTGTACCAGGAATGTACAAGTTCAGTTCCTCTTAGAAATGCAGTCAGAGAGCTGCAATTTAACAATTTCACATTACCCATTTGCTCATTTTTTTTCCTCATTTATTTTATTGCATTTTAGGTTTTGGGGTACATGTGAAGAACATGCAAAATTGTTGCATAGGTACACACGTGGCAGTGTGATTTGCTGCCTTCCTCCCCATCACCTATGCTCATTTTTATAACCAAGGGTTGGTATAAGACGATGGTTCACAAAGAAAGAGATACTGCCCCTTAGTGGACATTCCAGGAATTTAGTTGTCACTGACTGACCAGTCCTCAGGCATTTGGGAGAAAAAGGGGTCAGGAAATCACCTGACTGCTTTTGAGTGTCCTACCAGACACTTATATCGGTAAAACGCTTGATTGTAATAACTTCAGCCTAGAATCATCTTTAATTTACACAAAAATATAACAAGAGTTTTTGCACTGACTTTCAGGAATGAAATTAGTGTGAGCTGTTCATTTTGGTGATATCTGAGCTACCACTACAATGCACCTGTTATCAGTCAGTATTTATAGCGGCTATATTCAAGGTGAATCTGTGTGGTTGGAATCAATGGGCTACTTCATTGGGATTTCTGAGTAGTTGTGAGCAGGCATTTGCCAATTGAAATAATGTTATTTTAAAAATCATTTTATCTTTTATGTTAATTAATTTTTATTTTTTATTTTGTAGAGAGAGGGTCTCACTCTGCTGCCCAGGCTGGGATGCAGTAGCACTATCATGGCTCACTGCAGCCTCGACCTCCTGGGTTCAAGCGATCCTCCTGCCTCAGCCTCCTAAGTAGCTAGGACTACAGGCAGGCACAACCACACTCAGATAATTTTTAATTTTTTGTAGAGATGGGGTCTCACTGGGTGCCTAGGCTGGTCTGAAACTCCTGGACTCAAGCAATTCTCCCACTTTGGCCTCCCAAATTGTTGGGATTAATGGTGGGAGCCACCACACCCGGCCAGTATTAATTTCTTTAGAGTAAATGTACACATAATATATTATCTTTAAACTTTATTTCAAGATAGTAAAGGGGTGTTAACAACATATTTGTCATTAAAAAAGGAAACATTGATTCTGAAAGGATTGAGAACCACTGACACAAGAGATACTCACAGGAAAAGCCTTTCTATGGCTGGATGCAGTGGCTTATTCCTATAATCTCAATACTTTGCGAGGCTGAGGTGGGAGGATCACTTTAACCCAGGAGTTCGAGACCAGCCTTGGCAACATAATGGGACCTTGTCTCTACAAAAAAAGACAAAAATTAGCTGGGCGTGGTGGCATGTGCCTGTAGTCCCAACTATGCTGAGGTAGGAGGATTGCTTAAGCTCAGGAGGTGGAAGTTGAGGCTGGTGTGAGCCATGATCATGTCACCGCACTTCGAGACTGGGCTACAGAGCAAGACTGTCTAAAAGAAAAAAAAAAAAAAAAGCTTTTCTATATATCCTTTGTAAAAGTGCTCTTCCAGATACTATTCCATATAAGGTCCCATGTAATAAATTCCTCTTGTAATGTAGTCTTGACTATCATGACTATCTGGTATAGGTATTTATTTCTATTATTAAATAACAACAGGTGTGGAACGCATATGTTCCATTTTTGCCTCAATTGCCAGAAAGCTCACAGTTAAGTTTTTGGACTCAGTTGCAGTGGTTATCCTTAGCCCAGCATTTTGAAGATCATTTTTTTTTTTCTTAGAATAGGGTCTTTCTCTGTCATCCAGGCTGGAGTGCAGTGGCACAACCACAACTCACTGTGGCCTTGACCTCCCAGGTTCAAGTGATCATTCCACCTCAGCCTCCCGAGCAGCTGGGACTATAGGTGCATAACCATGCCCAGTTAATTTTTTTGATTTTTTAGTAGAGATAACATATCACTATGTTGTCTGGGCTGGTCTCCAACTCCTGAACTCAAGTGATCCTCCTTCCTTGGCCTCCCAAAGTGCTGGGATTACAGGTGTGAGGTTTGTTGTTGTTGCTGTTGTTGTTTGTTTGTTTGTTTGTTTGTTTTTGGTAGAGGCAGAGTCCTGCTGTTGCCCAGGCTGGTCTCAAACTCCTGGTGGCAAGTGATCTTCATGCCTCAGCCCCCTCAAAGCGCTGGAATTACAGGCATGAGCCACCTCACCCAGCCCATTCTTTAAATATTTACTTGTTATCTATGTCTTTTGTTGTAAGCCACCTTTAAATCTTTTCTGGAAGTAGGGAGAGCATAAATAATGAATGTGAAACTCCAATATCATGCACCTGCAGTTTCCTTGTCAGTACTTTCTGAGTCTGGAAGTCTAGGTTGGAGGGGCCTGGAAGGCCTGAGTCAGAGCAGATGATGGTGGGCTCAGGGGGTCTCGTTGTGCAGACTTGATGTCTCTGACACCTCATTCTCTTTTCCTTCAACGGCCTTCACCTTTGTGAAGGAGTGTGGGCACTGTGAGGAGCCAAAGGTTCCAGCTATCAGAGCCCACTCCAAGTCTTGTTTGGATCTTGGTGGCCTTGGTTGAGAGGGGGTCAGGGAAGGGCACGCTAGCTCTATGGTCACAGAAGTCCAAAGCTAAAAGTGGAGAGACTCCTTCCACACAGCATACACTCCCCTAGCATGCTGTCTGCATCCCTCAGAGCAGAGGCTCTGAAGCTCAGGCGGAGGCATCAGACTGACCCTGTTTTGAACCCTGGGTGCACTAGCCCTTAGCTCTGCTTCGGGCAGGATACCTCTCTGAGCCTCAGTTTCCTCCTTCAGAAGTAAGAATGATGGCTGGGCGTGGAGGCTCACGCCTATAATCCCAGCACTTTGGGAGGCTGAGGCAGGCAAATCACAAGGTCAGGGGTTTGAAACCAGCCTGACCAACATGGTGAAACCCTGTCTCTACTAAAAATATAAAAATTAGCTGGGTGTGGTGGTGCACGCCTGTAATCCCAACTACTCAGGAGGCTGAGGCAGAAGAATCGCTTGAACCTGGGAGGCGAAGGTTGCCTTGAGCTGAGTTCACACCACTGCGCTCCAGCCTGGGTGACAGACCGTGCCTCTGTCTCAAAAAAAAAAAAAAAAGAAGTAGGAATGATACTTACCTCAGAGGGCTTCACTATTAGGATTATCTCACTGAGATAATCTGTGCAGGGCTAAGGCAGTACCTAGAACACAGCAAGTGCTTAGTACCTGGCAGCAGCTTGGTGTTCCAGTCTACCTTGAGTTGGTAATTCTCATGTGCCTGTTTGCTTTCCCCAGTAGGGAGCTCCTGCAAGCAAGAGTGTGCATTAAACCTCAGCTCCTGGCTCACAAGCTCAGGGACCATGGCAAACTGCTTAATGTTTCTGGTCTCAGTGTTCTTACTAGTAAAATAGGGATAATGAAATATACTTTAAATTTTTGGTGTGAGTAAAACTATTAACAGTGGTTATTTCTGGGTAAGGGCATGATGAAAAACATTATTTTATGTTTTGTAAGCATTTTTCTTCTATGGGCATTTTCTTTTTTTTCTTCTGTAACAAACATGAAATATTTGTGTATTTTAAGTTACTTTTCCAAACATGCCTTTTATTAAGAAAGTCACTGGGCATGGTGGCTCACACTTGTAATTCTAGCACTTTGGGAGGCTGAGGTGGGAAGAGCTTGAGGCCAAGTGGTAGAGACTGCAGTAAGCTGTGTTTGCGACACTATACCCTAGCCTGGTCAATAAAGCAAGACCCAGTCTTCAAAAAAAAAAAAAAAAAAGCTTAAATGTATTGAGTGCTCATTATATTTTAGGCATTGCTCTAAGCCCTTTTTTTTTTTTTTTTTTTTTTGAAACAGAGTCTTGCCCTGTCGCCAGGTGCCAGACTGGAGCACAGTGGCACAATCTCAGCTCACTGCAACCTCCGCCTCCTGGGTTCAAGCAATGCCCTTGCCTCAGCCTCCCAAATAGCTGGAACTACAGGTGCGCACCGCCATGCCCAGCTAATTTTTGTATTTTTTAGTAGAGACGAGGTTTCACCATGTTGGCCAGGATGGTCTTGATCTCTTGATCTCATGATCTGCCTGCCTCGGCCTCCCAAAGTGCTGGGATTACAGGCATGAGCCACCATGCCTGGCCAGCACTTTTTTTTTTTTTTTTTGAGTTTTGCTCTTGTCACCCAGGCTGGAGTCCAGTGGCATGATCTTGGCTGACTGCAACCTCCACCTCCCCGGTTCAAGTGATTCTTCTGCCTTAACCTCCAGAGTAGCTGGGACTACAGGCATGTGCCACCACACCTGGTTAATTTTTGTATTTTTAGTAGAGATGGGGTTTTACCATGTTGGCCAGGCTGGTCTTGAACTCCTGACCTCAGGTGATCCGCCCACCTCAGCCTCCCAATGTGCTGGGATTATAGGAGTGAGCCACCGAGTTCAGACTCTAAGCACTTTATACACATTATCTCTAATTCTCACAACATTCCTCTGAGGCAGTTAGTATTATCACCCCAGTTTTATAAATTGGGCTTAAGGAGATTGAACAATTTGCCCTGTTTGTTGTAAGTATATCTATAAATGTGATAAAAATTTTATAAAACTACACGCACACACACAAATGAGTGCATATAGAAATTGGTGAAATCTGATTAAGGCCTGTAGTCTATTTAACAATATAGTACCTATGTCATTGTTCTGGTTTTTATGTTGTACTACTGTAATGAAAGAAGTTATCACCAGAGGAAGTTGTATGAAAGCTGATCTGCAATTTCTTGTGAATCTATAATTAGACTCACATAATAAATCATTTAATTTACATTTATTTATATATTTATTTTAAAATGAGTTAAACAGTAGGTTTGTTTCTGTTTTGTTTTGAGACAGGGTCTCACTCTATTGCTCAGGCTGGAGTACAGTGGCACGATCTGGGCTCACTGTAGCCGAAACCTCTCTCAGGCTCAAGTGCTCCTTCCACCACAGCCCCCCGAGTAGCTAGGAGCACATGCATGTGCCAACATGCCCAGCTAGTTTTTTGTATTTTTTGTAGAGATGGGGTTTTGCCATACTGCTCAGGCTGGGCTCGACTTCCTGAGCTCCAGTGATCTACCTGCCTCGGCCTCCCAACATGCTGGGATTACAGGTGTGAACCATCATGCCCAGCCAATAAGATTTTGTTTTGTTTTTTTAAAGTGCTAAAAACCTTGTAAGGGACTGGGCGTGGAGGCTCATGCCTGTGATCCTAACACTGTTGGAAGGCACTGCTTGCATGCAAGAGTTTGAGATCAGCCTGGGCAACATATGAGCCCCTGCCTCTACAAAATATTTAAAAATTAGCCAGACTTGGTGGCACGTGCCTGTAGTCCCAGCTACTTAGGAGACTGAGGCAGCAGGGTCACTTGAGCTCAGGAGTTTGAGGTTGCAGTGAGCTATGATTGCTACTGCACGCCAACCTGGATGGCAGAGTAAGACCCTGTGTCAAAAAAAAAAAGAAATGAAGAAAGAAAGAAAGTTTACATTCAGCAAAGACAAACCTCCTTTCCACTTGCCAAAAGTGAGCAAGCCAGGATTTACAGCCAGGCAACCTATTCCTGGGGCTACTGCCTCTCCCTTAAGGTCCAGTGTACTGCATGAAAGTATGCTTTGAACCTTGGAAATAATCTACCCCAATTGTCTCCACTTACATGTAAGAAGATGGATTCTTGGAGAAGGGAAGGGTCATGCTCAAGGACACCCAATAAGTCTGTGACTAAGTCAGGATGAGAACCCAGTCTTTGAACTCCTAGGCCAGGGTTTTTTCTAGCGCTCACACCCAGGGCTGCTCACCCCATACAGCACACCTTCCCTGGGCCCTGTCTGGGAGACCACTGGTATCCACAGGCCAACCCTCAACAGCCTGCCCAGCTCAGGGCACTCAGGCCCAGAGGTGGAAGTGGGACCCAGGAAGAGTGGCAGCATAGTGGCCCACTACTGGGAGCCAGGGTAGCTGGGGCCACACAGAAAGGGCAAGGATAGACACTCTGAACTTTGGCAGGAGTTGGGTGGGAAGGGAACGTGTGTATGTGCATGTAGGGGAGGTATTCACGCCAAATCCTTGCTCCCATTCCCCTTAGGCTCCTTTGAGTCACTTGTCCCTAAGGTTGGGGCACATTCTTGAAGGGAGTGGTCACTGGGGTTCCAGGCCCATTCAGGCCCTAGGCCAGTTTCTATTCCTCCTGGGACTGAAATCACCTCCCCACTCACACTCAGCACCCCTCTCCAACTGGAAATATAATGACATGCTCTTCTAATTCCTGCCCTGGGACCTCCCTGGACCAGACATGAGGTTGGTGGGAGGGCCAGCCTGGGTCCCCTTTCTCAGGGGATGAATTCTTAGTATTCAGTGTGTGAGGCGTGCCTGACCTACATTCAGATGAGCCTGATTGGCCCTCCCTTCCCCATCCTGTAGTGCTTCCCCCAACCCCCCATCCCTCCGGGCCATTCAGCGGAGGATCTAGGATCTCTCCCTGCCATCTCGCCATCTAGGCGCCCCGAAACTCGGCCACTTGGCCTAAGGGAGCGGCCCTAGCAATCTGGTCTGTGGGAAGCAGCGCCCTCGTGTGGCCTCCAGGAGAAGCGCGGCTCCTTTCTCAGCCCTGTCCTTTGTATGTTCCCATTGAACAAACACTTATTGAGAGCCACTATGTGCCAGGCACCAGCGAAAACAGATACCTGCTCCACGGACTGTGCATTTCAGCGTGTTAGTGCGTGTGTAGTCAGGCAATAAACGATAAACAAATACATAAATGAGGCAGTTACTAGTAGTGGTAACTGCTAGGAAGAAACTAAAACAGAGAAATGTGATGGAGTGACCCAAGAGAGAAACTTAGGACAGGATGGAAAAGGAAAGTTTTCTGGAGTAGCTAACGTCTGAGATGAGACGTAGGTGACAGGTTGTCATGTGAGGATCGGGGGGGAAATCTTTCCTTGCAGAGAAAATAGATCCTGCAAAGACCCTCAGGAACAGGTTTTGCAGAACAGACGAAGGCCAGTGTGGTTAAAAAGGAGTGAGCAAGGGGACACTGGTGGGAGATGCGGTCAGAGAGGTGGGCTGGGGCCAGGCTGTGAATCTTGCAGGCCATAACAAGAAGTTTGATTTTTTTCTTCTAGGAGTAATGGGAATGTGTTAAGAGTATTGAACCGAAGGGTAATGTGGCTCAACTGCCTTTTGAAAGGACGTGTATGCTGCAGTGTGGAGGATGGACTTTAGGCAAGGAAGGAAGAGTGGAAGCAAACGGGTTATTGCAAAAAGCTAGAAAGTTACTGAAATAATTCAGGTGAGAAATGATGGTTGTTTGGATCAGGGTAGCAGTGCTAGAGGTGGGGAGATGTGGTTGGATTATGGGTATATTCTGAAAATAGAGTCAACAAGATTTACTAATAATGGACCACATTTTCCTTTGCTCATTTAGCTCCAGGAACTGCTTCACTCACACCCCCCTAGTGGGCTCCTCCATCCTCACTGCAAGGTTGAGTTACAAGGGCAGGTCCCAGGGATGCAACTAAATTGGGGAATTCCTAGATGTTGTTGGACAAAAGAATTTAAGACTAATGAGCCACGTGGCCAGGCGCAGTGGCTCACACCTGTAATCCCAGCACTTTGGGAGGCTGAGGCGGGTGGATTACCTAAGGTGGTGACCAGCGTGACCAATGTGGTGAAACCCTGTCTCTACTAAAAATATAAAAATTAGCCAGGTGTGGTGGCACACATCTGTAATTCCAGCTACTTGGAAACTGAGGCAGGAGAATCACTTGAACCCCAGAGGTGGTAGTTACAGTGAGCCCAGATGGTGCCACTGCACTCCAGTCTGGGCGACAGCGAGATTCCATCTCAAACAAAAATATATATATACTTATTAGTGTAGTGGTGTGCACCTGTAGTCCCAGCTACCTGAGAAGCTGGGGTGGAAGGAACACTTAAGCCTAGGAGGTCAAAGGTACAGTGAGCTGTGATTGTGCCACTACATTCCAGACTGGGTGACAGAGTGAGACCCTGTATTAAAGAAAGAAAGAAAGGAAAGGAAAGGAAAGGAAAGGAAAGGAAAGGAAAGGAAAGGAAAGAAAAGAAAAAAAGAAAAGAAAAGAGAAGAGAAGAGAAGAGAAGAGAAGAGAAGAGAAGAGAAGAGAAGAAAAGAAAAGAGAAAAGAAAAAGACTCAGGCACTAGGTCTTCCATCATTATCCCATTTAATGAGCAGAGCCTCTGCCTGCTGTCTCCCTTACCCTGTCTGGCTTCCATAGACCCAATTATTTATTAGGTGCCTGTTTGTCCAAATGGGTGTGTCTGTGGCCCCAGGGGTGTGTTGGTGACACCAAAAACAGTCCTGGGTGTTTGGTGTTTTTATTTGATACAAGTTACGGGATAACAAAATCTGGGGTACCAGTCCTCAGACCCAGGCCAATCATTTACTCCCATTTCTTTACACAAAACACAGTGGGATCAGACCTGATGCCACAGGAAATGCACATACACATTTTGGCCCCAGGTTGGGCATTTCTGGAGCGCCTGGGAAAGGCCAGGCTAGTCTTACAAGTACTCTTTATGCCAGCAGTGGGTGGGGCAAGCAAGTAGGGGAGTAGGTGACTGGCAGGCTCTGGCATCAGCAGGCCTTGTTCTGTTTGTGTTGTGCTGCAGTGGGGGATGCATTATAAACGCAACCAGCCAGAGGGCCCCTGGCTTCAGAACCTAGGACTGTACTGGTTCTGAGATTCTGTGCCAGCCTCATGGAAATGAAGCTGCCAGGCCAGGAGGGGTTTGAAGCTTCCAGTACTCCTACAAATGTTTCTGCAGGGGAGCTGGACAGTGACCTTGGTCCCGGCCCCGGCCCTAGCCCTGATGGCCCCTCAGCCACAGAGAGCAAGGAACTGGGGGTACCCAAAGACCCTCTGCTCTTCATTCAGCTGAATGAGCTACTGGGCTGGCCCCAGGCACTGGAGTGGAGAGAGACAGGCAGGTAAGTAGGATGCAAGCCAGTTCTGTGGGATCCTTCCCCTTCCCCAGCTACAGCCTCCTGCATGCCCCCCAGCTCTTCTTGTGGGGCTGCCCAAAATTAGGATTTTCCTAGCTGTGTTCCCTTATTTCAGGGTCTTACCTTCCATGATGCTCAGCCTCTTCTGTAGTCTAGTTTTGAGATCCCCAAGACCCAAGATGAGGGGTGATTGCCAGGGGTGGGGGGATACTTCACACCACTGGGCCCAGGATGCTCTCATTGCCTTCCCTTCCCTAGCTCCTCTCCATCCCGGCTCCTGGACATGGGAGAAATGCCCCCAATAACACTGTCTACCCACCTCCATTGCAGGTGGGTACTGTTTGAGGAGAAGTTGGAAATGGCTGCAGGCCGGTGGAGTACCCCCCACGTGCCCACCCTGGCACTACCCAGCCTCCAGAAGCTCCGCAGCCTGCTGGCCGAGGGTCTTGTACTGCTGGACTGCCCAGCTCAGAGCCTCCTGGAGCTTGTAGGTAGGCGGAGAGCCTTTGCAGGAAGAGCCTGGGTAGCCATGCCTTTTCCCCAGGATTTCCCCTCCAAAGTCTTGGAATCTTCTAAAACCCACCCCCACCCCTCCTAGGATTGTCTACCCTTGTCACAGCATGGACATGGCAAAGCAGGGTGGAGGAGCAAGTTCATTGGCCCTGGCATTCCTAGACTCCCAGAAGGGAAAGGGGTCTGGGCAGAGGGAGAAGGGGAAGTGTGTGGGGGCAGGGAATGCTCAGGAGGGAGATGACACCCCCTATCTGTTCTCCAGAGCAGGTGACCAGGGTGGAGTCGCTGAGCCCAGAGCTGAGAGGACAGTTGCAGGCCTTGCTGCTGCAGAGACCCCAGCACTACAAGACCACAGGCACCAGGCCCTGCTGGGGTGAGAGCCCCTCCCTGGGCACAGGACCAAGACCCTGGTGTGGCAGGGTCTCAGATCTCCCCTGAACCTTCCGGGGCTAGAAGTAGCCTAGGCTTAGTTCAGACCCCAACCCAGTATTTGAGAGCAAGAAGAAACTGGTGGTAATGTTGTGGGGAGAAGATTCAGAGGGCTAGAATCCTAAGAGAGTTCTGTGAAGGGATGTACTTGGTAGGCACTATGCCAAGAACTTTACACACAGTATTTCATTTGATCTTCACAACTGCCCTGTAAGTACCACAATTATCCACGTTTTAGTGATGAGAAAACAGAGGCTCAGAGTAGAGAAGGTTGTACTCTAATTCTTACAGCTTGTCAGTGGCAAAACTGGTTAGGGAGTCCTGGTGGATCCACCCCCAAAGCCTGTGCTCTTAATCACTGCAGAATCCTGTTTTGTAGGCTCTACTCATTCAAGAAAGGCTTCTGACGATGAGGAAGCCCCCCTGAGGGAACAGGTTTGTGGCCCTTCCTTGGGCTCCCTCTCTAGTGACTGGGAGAGGGGTTAGGAATTAACAAAAGTCTACTTTTGACTGGGTTTCTCATCAGTTGAGATCTTACCCTCCCCAAATAACCTTTCATACTCTGTGTCTCCTTGAACCCCCACCCAGCGTCAGAACCCTCTGAGACAGAAGCTGCCTCCAGGGGCTGAGGCAGGGACTGTGCTGTCAGGGGAGCTGGGCTTCCTGGCGCAGCCACTGGGAGCCTTTGTTCGACTGCGGGACCCTGTGGTACTGGGGTCCCTTACTGAGGTGTCCCTCCCAAGCAGGTGAGGCTACTGAGTGGGAGTCAGGGATCATGGAACCTAGGAGGGTCTTTACTGGGGAGGGGAAGGAGGATCAGTTCATTCTCTGAGGCTGTGGGGAAGATGGTACTCAGGGGTTTAGGGAAGAAGTAGTAGTCAGGACTGCAGGGTAGGTAGGCAAATATGTGTGTGTATGGGAGCTGATAGGTCAGAGCTGAGTGTCAGAGGCCAGGGCTGCCCTGTGGGAAAGCAGCTTGTGAATCTCTGGGGCCTGGTTCCCTCCTCAGG